GAGAAATCGTATGTTAACGTACACCAACATGGCGGTGATGACGTCATAACTGAATGATCCAAATGACAAAGACATGGCGGCCATGTTGGTGTATATAACTAGAAAGCTAATGAGAAATCTTTCCGTTCTCAAACTCAATCATGATGAACACAAAAAATTAGTTCGTTATCACTACGTTAGACTAAAAAAAGTAGTTATTTCAGAAGACCAATGAGTCACGTACCAAGCCCTGAAAAGGCTTTAAAGAGTTCAGTGCTTCAAGTTCCGGAGAAACGAAAACAACGCTTCACACTGCATTTTCGTCATATTCTAAATCATCGTTCTTATTGATGACTTTGTACTCGTTTCCGTGTAGCTTGGTCATAACCAACGGCGCCTTCTCTTTTTGTTCCTTCTTCTTCGAGCTTCTCCACCACATGAAAAAAGCTAGCAAACATCCAACGACCATCAACAAACCAAACGTAATCCCTAGATATTTCCCCCACGAGTATTCGTCTTTATTCGAGGCGACTGCTTTAACTTTTGGCTCTGTCATGAGCGTTTGTTTAGGAAAAGTTGTTGGAATTTCCTCAGGCGGGAGAATCGGATCCGTAATGCATCCATAGACCTCAATGCGCATGCCTGTAGCGTTGCTCCAGGATACAGGGATTACCCGGATGTACTTGACTAGTGTGATTGGTTCGGGAAGGATGTTTTTGACGATGGTATTTGTATCGTTGTTAGCCGTGAAGTTCTGGAGGTGGAAAAACGGAAAGACAGAAACTAATTAGGGATATTAAGAGAGAATTCTTTTTGTATTCAAGCAGTGAGCGCCAAAAACTATTTTCTTGAAGAAAGGCTGTTGTACAAGGCTAAAATCTTGTTATTCAGAAAGTTTAACTTGTTTGGAAGTGGAGGTGACCGTTGAAAGTGGAATCAAAGTGTTAACCCAAAGCAAATATTTTATTCGAAAGTGAGGTTTAGGCCTTCATTCGTTTATTTCCCATATATTTTCTATAAAAAAGCCTGACAAAGCATATACTACAAATGCAACAAAACATCTTTGTACAATTGAAAATACCGCTTCAAACAGGCATTTTATCATAATACATCAGTTTATAACGGTTTAAAAAAGGTTTTTTGTGTGTTAACCCAAAACGAAAATTGGATCAAAACTCATACGAAAGTCTAGTTTTAGACGCGGCTTTTTGCTATTATTGCTCGTTATTGAAAAAAATTTCCTCTTAAAGTAACGCACTCCTCGGACGGGCAGAAACGAATGCAGGACTAGGTACTAATGTGTCGCTAGAAGATCTGATTGGCCATGCGCAAAGCATTTGGGTGGACAGGAATCAGTTATGACGACCAAAAAAGAAATATTCTGTATCTATTCCATTTTTCTAGGGAGGAGGAAGAGAAGAAGAAGAAATAAGTGAATAAAAAAAAAAAAAAAAAAAAG